AAGGGAAATGACCTACAAAGGGTGAAAACCAAGCAGGATCTGGTCTTCTAAAGAGCAGTCAGGGTTGATCTCCTCTAGGACTGTCCGGTTTGATCGCCTTGCAGGCCAAGGGACTTGCAGGAGTCTTCTCCAGTACCAGAGTTCAAAGGCCTCCATTCTTTGGCGCTCAGCCTTTCTAATGGTCCACCTTTCACAGCCATGCATTGCAACTGGGAAAACCATAATCTTGACTATACACTACACCTGACTAAACTTTTGTTGGCAGGGTGATGTCTCTGCTTTTTAGTATGCTGTATTCCAACTTACATTTGATCTTTTTCAGAGTATATGAACACACTTCCAAAAAGTAGACCTAAAGTTTTTTTTTCCCCCTTCGGGATCAATCCTAATATCAGGCCAAACTGGCTTTTGGCCTTAATTAATCAATTTGACAGTCTGCTGTTCAATGCAGATGCTTTATTTCTCCTAATGAGAAACTAGCCCTGATTATACAGTACGTAGTCCTCGACATACGACCACAATTGAGCCCAAACTTTAGTTTCTAAGTGATATGTTTGTTAAGTGAGTTTTGCTCTGTTTTATGGCTTTTCTTGATGCAGTTGTTTAGTGAACCACTGCAGTTGTTAGTAACATGGTTGTGAAGTCTGGCTTCCCCATTGACTTTGCTTGCCAGAAGGTTGCAAAAGGTGGTCATAAGACCCGGGACACTGCGACCATCATAAATATTAGTCTGTTGCCAAGTGTCCGAATTCTGGCCATGTGATTATGGGGATGCTGCAACAGTCATAAGTATAAAAAACCTGTTTCACTTAGGAACGGAAATTTTGAGCTCAATTGTGGTGTAGGTCGAGGATTACCTGTTATCTTCACCCTAGTGAAAGAATTCTCATCTAGGACCGGTAGTGAAGCTATTACCTATTCTTGAATGGGAAGATCTCTCCCCTCCCCATATTTTTCTGGAGGGGAGAGATAGCCTCCTTCCTCTGATCAAACTGTCTTACAAAATGGCTCCAGTTTCTCCACTGAGTGGCTTTGGAATATGTAATGCCAGTAGAAATCCAACACTGCACTAACAACAAGTAAAGGTAAAGGCTCCCCTCGCACATATGTGCTAGTGGTTCCTGACTCTAGGGGGCGGCCGAAGAGCCAGTGCTGTCTGAAGACGTCTCCGTGGTCATGTGGCTGGCATGACTAAAGGCCAAAGGCACATGGAACACTGTTACCTTCCCACCAAAGGTGGTCCCTATTTTTCTACTTGCATTTTTACATGCTTTCGAACTGGTAGGTTGGCAGAAGCTGGGATAAGTAATGGGAGCTCACTCCATTATGTGGCGCTAGGGATTCGAACTGCCGACTTTTCTGATCGACAAGCTTAGCCACTGAGCCACCGCTCAGTTTGTATTTTCATACATATGACAGTGTGGCTCCATGAGAATTAAGTTAATTGAAGATATAGAGACCCACACCTATGTCCAAGAGACAGGGATAATTAATCAACTCTCACAGGAACAGCAAAAGTAACTTTGGGTAACTGATCAAATTAGCATGGAAAACAAAGAAACAATGGATACTCTCTGCTTCTTTCCACATGGCTTATTGCACTTATCACATTTTAATGTTTTATTGTTTGCAATTTCTTGGTTGGATTGTTGGGAGTTGCCCAGAAGTATTGAGAGTCAGATGGCATACAAGTTTCAGCAAACAGCAAAGACAATAGTAATCTTGCCAGGCAAGTTCAGCCTATTAGTTCCTGTGCCCTCTGAGCACTGGGTCAGAGGATTTTAATATCAGGCCAGCCAGGAAATCTATACTACAGTCCTTGGTATTCTGAAGCCAAGTGCTGTCTGCAGATAGGGAAACTTCTAACTGCCTCTCCTGGCCTGAGCTGAACCCCTGCTTTACACTGGAAGAGGCTTTATAGAGCTATAAAATATCTGGAGTCACCAGCTAGCCTTCAGTCAGAAAGGCTGTGAGCTTTCCATGACCTAGCTACTCTGTCTCTCTCTCTGTCTGTCTCTCTCTGTCTGTCTTTCTCTGTGTCTATGTCTGTGTCTCTCTCTGCCCCTCCCCTCCCTTTCCCTCACACAAATCCCTACTTTTACAAGATCCTTATTCTATGATACCATGCAATGTGAAGGAGGAGAAAGCCTTAATACAGCCATAAAAATAAAAAATAAAAAATTACCTGCATTCTTTCTAGAGGGTTAGAATGACAGTTTGCTTTATTAATGAGGTATGTGTGCTCCATATATTCTGTTATTCGTTGAAGGAAGCTCAGGGGTTCATTGAAGGCAATGGGCATGGTAATTTTTGACAGCTCCTAAGTAGTGAGAAGAGGGGAGGGGGGAATAGAAAACTGTGATGCCACAAGCAAATTTTAAACAACTGTCAATTAATAGATATCAGCCCCAGATATCAGCCTTACAGCTTGCTGCTACATAAACATCAGACAAACAAAACATAATGCAAAGGGATGATATTTCAGCTGCCACAACATATTATGCTGCCATTTTTTTCAATATGAGAAGTCTTTGAACAGTTACTACTTAATCTATCCATTCTGCTCAGTGTGTGGACATATCTGCTTTACACACATTATATTCCAAATGTATTGTAGCCTGTTTCTCAATCTCAGCAACTTTAAGATGGACTTCAACTCCCACAATTCCCCAGCCAGCCATGGCACTCTACAAGCTGAAGTCCAGCCAGCTCAGCAATAACAATAGCACTTAGACTGATATACTACTTCACAGTACTTTACATCTTTGTCTAAGGGGTTTACAGAGTTAGCATATTGCCCGCAAAAATCTGGCTCCTCATATTACCCACCTTAGAAGGATAGGAGGCCGAGTCAACCTTGAGCCGCTGAGAATCGAACGCCTGGCAGTTGGCAGTATTAGCCTGCAATGCTGGATTCTAACCACTGTGCCACGCAGGGGTAGGTTCCGGCAGGCCCCACTGCCGGTTTGCTCATGGCGAAGCCATGCACGGTTCAATAAAAATTGTTCTGCACACGTGCAGAAGCCAAAAAACAGGAGAACCAGTTTGGGGGCGTGGCAGGCCTAGGTCGCTGCCGGTTTCAGTGATCCAGGCTGCCAAGCGACTACCGGTTTAGCCAAACCGGTCTGAATCAGTAGGAACCTACCTCTGATGTGATCCCCTTTTGCGACCTTCTCACAAAAGTCAATGGGGAAGCCAGATTCACTTAACAACCATGTTGCTAACTGAACAACTGTAGTGATTCACTTTACATATGAATGGCAAGAAAGGTCGTATACAGGCAAAATCCGCAACTGTCTTCATCTACAAAGAGAAAGTTTGGGCTCAGTTGCTGTAAGTCAAGGACTACCCGTGTTGCATTGTCACCTTTTCCAGCACACAGGATGGACAAATACACCCCCCACCATTACTTTAACCTACACAAACATCTTTTTCTCAACATATTCAGCTCTCTGGAAGATCTGGTTCAGTAATGGGCAACCTTGGAAGGCCTCGGTCGTAATAGCAAGCTCCCATTTTTGTACAGATAGTCCTCGAGTT